ATCACTGTAGTTCAGGGGTCTTCCCACCCATCTGTTTTTCTGGATCTTTGGAAGCAATGGATCTAGAAAAATAGTGCTTTTCTGGATCTAGAAAAACAATGTTCACGACTAAAATTTGTGGAAGATCTCCCAGAACCAGCTGGAACCGCTGGTTGCCTGGCCATACTTGGGAATCTCAACTTCTTTGGGCTATTTCCATTTCCACAGATCAAAGAACAGGATAGGTTCAGATTTTCAGGGGAACTAAGGAATACATTTCCTGATTGAAAATATTGTTCCGCCAGAGATGCAAGGTCTTTGTATTCTTGGATTCCAAGATGACTATGTCCTGATTCACCTGGCCTGTCAAACTAGAACAGCTGCAGCTGACAGCATTTAAGAGATCTTTAGTTGTGGCTGCAGGATGATTTCAGGTTTTTCTTTCTTGTGGTATTATGCTCTCAGGGGGGACCTGAGAGTTTGCCTGAAGGAGCTTCCCTACTCCCAGTCTCTCCATAGGTTGTGGAGAGATATTGGATCTTTAAGAAGTTCAAAACAGCAAGGTTTCAATACTGGTGATGAAAGAAAAGCATCACATTCCCATTTGAAATCAAAGGTACAGAGATTTCTTATCAGTGTCATCCCTGCTTTCCCACTTTCTCTCCTTTCCCTCACCCCACAAGGGCAAAGGCTTACTCTCTACAAGCATCCAATGGATAGAGACACTCAGGAAGGTGTCTTGGAAGGGAAAATGAACAGAAGTGTGTGCCGGTAGCCTCCTCGTTAGCTAGAATGTTGACAGCCAATAAAAATAGAAACAAAAATTCTAAGCAAACTACTTTCTGGCCAGCTTCTGGCCTGGAAGCCATAACAAGTCTCTCACCCAGTTTAATCCAAAAACTGTTAGAATTCTCCGAGAGTCCAGACTCTATTACAGATGAATTAATTTTCTCCATCACGGCTACTTATTTTAGTTCACTTTGACATGGTACTATCCGTGACTAAATAGCTTTTTCACTATTGGCTCTTACGGTTCCTCGAGACTGCTGCCTCTGGGTAAGAAAGTACCAGGCTGTATATAATGTTTCCTGGAGAGCTCCCCCTGTACCTTGTTTTTGCTACTGTAACTTTACCCCTTCACTTACCAAACAGGGAGGATCTATTCTGGTTTTCTCATATTCAGTAACTCACAGAGCAGAAAAATGAGATGATCCACAAATTTGCTGAAAGAGCTTGGATAGCTGGTAAACTCAATTCTGCATCCACTTATCTTTCCCTTAGTACATAAAAAACTGCTTTGGGAAGTATCTGACCGTGCAAAGAGGGATGTATGACCAAAAGATGGAAATCTGATGTTTCCTGCGAGCTGACCATCAGTCTGCATCGGATCTGGCTATTTGCTAGCTTTTTTTTTTTTTTTTTTTGAGATGGAGTCTAGCTCTTGTCGCCCAGGCTGGAGTGCAATGGCATGATCTTGGCTCACTGCAACCTCCACCTCCCGGGTTCAAGCGATTCTCCTGCCTCAGCCTCTTGGGTAGCTGGGATTACAGGCACCTGCCACCACACCCAGCTAATTTTTCTAGTTTTGGTAGAGACGGGGTTCCACCATGTTGACCAGGCTGTTCTCCAACTCCTGACCTCAGGTGATCTGCCCACCTTGGCCTCCCAAAGTGCTGGGATTATAGGTGTGAGCCACTGCGCCTGGCCTGCTAGCATTTCTAAGATGCAGTCAGAACGTCCTTGCACAACTGGGTGGTTAATAAAGCGTGTAGATTTACATTGCCTCCTGGACAAAAGAGGGGAAAAATAGAGGAGAGGTGGGAAACATTTGTAATAGAAAACCAAGTTTTTAAATCAACATGAAAGCAGGTGAACAGAAAGGCTAGCTTTGCATTAGAGGAAATAAGATGTAGAAAGCTGGTTTTTCATTGTGAAGAAATTTTAAAAGCAGTCCAGTGATATTTCTGACTCTGGATTTACTAAGATGTCAGTGATTAAAAAGCAATATTGTCAAGAATAATAATATGTCAGGGTAAAGATCAATAGCAGCCACAAAAACATAATAAGTTTTTCTAAAGAATGGTTTGAACTCACACTCACAGAATATTATGTCATTAAAGTGACCAAGCAGCAACCAGCTGGACCTGCACTCACAGCTGACCAGACAAGAGCTGGGTTTGTTTTGGTTTGATTTTTTAGCAACTTAACTCTAGTAGCCTTGTCTCTAACTATGGAAGATTATAAAGCTGACAACTTGATTAGGATGAAAATCTGATGTCAAAATCGAATGTAGTTTTCCTTCCCAGTCTCACTTTTGAAACTCTAACTCTTTTGTGGTATCTCCCATAGGAGAATGTGGTGCCCAAAGAAACTGTGGTAGTGGAAAGAGAACTGGTTTAAGGATTTTTAGACCCATTAATCTAAAGTTTAAACACAAGCAACATTTGTCTAAGGTGTTAGAAGTCAAGATGGGATGACTCTTAGGCTCGGTGTGGATGGGAAGGCAGCATGAAGGAACTGGAGCTGTTTCTTGAGCTGGGTGCTGGCTAGACAGATGTCCCACTTTGTGAATTCACTGAACATACACATATGATCTGCATACTTTTTCTTGTGTACTACAGAAGTATAATACACATTACACTTCAATAAAACACAGTAAAAAGCCTCTGCATTCTCTTAACAAACATGCTCTAAATAGACAACAAATTTTGGGGAGGTCTCTTGAACCCTAGTTTCTTTCACAAAATGAGATGGTGGACCAGAGAACCCCAGACCTGAAGCTTCCTGATGTTGTCATCGTTGGCACATGATGAATGCATAGCGTTGGTATTCCTGCTATTTGTGACTCAAAGAACAATCAAAACATGGGCAAAGTTGCCACAGACCTTCCCAGAAAAGGCATAAATTGAAAGCTATGTAAATTTGCCACATGGGGAATGATGTTGAATAACTGGAACCATAGGGCTGATGTTGATAGCAAAGAAGTAGAATTAGGGTTACTGTCAGTGTAAGCCCCACTTTAAAAGCAGATGTTCATCACACAGCTAGTGATGTGTGTGATCACATTAAATTCAAGAGCCGATGTTTCTCTAATAGTTTCTTCTCAAAAATAGCTGCTGGAAATTATGGTTCTGTTAAAATAGGCTACAAGAATTTCCATCTAATCCAGCAGTTCAGTGTTTCAAGCAGTTCCTTTCTTTTCTTGTTTAATATAAAGTGAATTTAAAGGTGACCTGCACCGTGACTGACTGGCAGTTAGAAAGAATCATCCTCTGTGTCATCAGTGAGATGTTGCCAATCACATCGCAGAATGGATGGGAAAAGACCAAGGTCTGGGTTGGAGGGAATTTGCTGTTCTAATAGGAGAAATTACTGCAGCCTCCATTGGATAAGAAAATGAGCTATACCTATCTCCCTGTGTGCTTTTCCTACAACTTGAGCCTCTTGGAAGACAAAGTATGTGTAGCAGGAAGAAGGAAAAATAATAATAATCCAACTAGGTGGTTAGCACCTGGATAACAGATCCACAGAGAAGTTCTTAAAATCTTATTATTTTCTTCTAAAGCCTCTAAAGTCCCCTAGAAACAAGTCACCTGATTCTACTAAGCCACCTGCCTCATCCCACTGAAAACCTTTCCGGAAACATGGGCCAGACATGCTCTCTGATGGCCATTCGTCTTCTGAATCCCAAGAATAATCCTTTGGCACAAACATAGAAGTGTATTATTTGGTCTTCCAACAAACATGAAGAGAAACAATGAAATGAAGGAAATGCACATCACGAGCTGCCACACAAGATCCTAATTACCATAATTTGAACCATCCTCCTTCCCATTGCCGGAAAGTCAGCCTTCTGGATGAGAGCAAGCCAAACCAGCAAGATAACAGGCTTCTGTTCTCTCTCCCTGTCCCTCGCCTCTTTCTTTCTTCCTCTCTTCCTTAAATGATGTTCATTAAGACAGCGATTCTTCTAACAGTGTATAAGCCTCAATTGTATTAGTGAAAGCTTTGCATGACTTGATAAAATGAGCCAGAAAGAAGGAAGAGGGGCTGAAAGAAGCAGACACACGCTGTCTTTTATTCCCCAAAGCAACTGTCAGTCTCAGAATATTTTTGTAGAACCTGCCAGAAATCTCTCTGGAATCATCCCTGTTGGATACAAGGACAGTAAATCTAAAAAGTTCAGGTCTTCCGTGGTATGAATCAGAAACTCTTAATAATTCAGAAAAGGCCAATTTAAACTCCACGTGTCCAGTCACATCAATACACCACTCCCTGTAGCTCCAAACAGCCCCTAGAATATTTCCTTTTCCTAGATTACTCATAGCTTTGCCTTGTCCCTGACTTCCCCCAAACTACTTGAGTAAGTTACTTTGGCATAGCTTCTTACATTTAGGCAGCAAATGAGCCAGGATGGGAGACATGCAAAGTGTGTTAACTTTGTACCTATTAGAATTCACCTAAAATATGCCCACTGAAATATGGATCTAAAAAGCCCACCCCTGCCCACCCCAGTGCCAGGGCTTCTGCCTTTTGCTGTAACAAGTGCGGTAGAAATTGGCCCCACTGTCACTCTTCAGCTCACATATAGGATGTGATGGGATTTTTCAGTAGCAGCTTTAAATCAGTTTGCTGAGGCCTCAATAGTGCAGCCCCAAGTTAGGGCTCGAGGAAGCATGTCCTGAAGTCACAACGCTCCTTGTGACAGCATGTGCACTGACACAGTGGAGGACTGCTTCACTGACCTTTTGTATTTTAGAGTGTGTGACCAGGTGGGCTGCTTTGTTTTCAACCAGTGTGTAGGGAAGACACAATTTAGCAAGACAAAGGACACGTTTTTTAAGAAGCAGAGATAGCAAACAACTGGCATCCTTTTTTGGCGTTAGTGTGGAGGTGGCTAATCAAGACAGGCTAGGAGTGATCCAAGTAGTTGGAGGAACTTGGCAGAGAGTAAATGATTATGAGGCCATATTTGAAGGTCATGAAGTCAGTAAGAAAAGAAATGCATGTGATAGTGGGAGTTTGAAGTAAATCTATATTTTACATCCAAGTGACCTATGATTAGAGGAAAAGGCAGCCAGTAAGGTACGGAAAATGAGGCCAAATTGGAGTCAAGGGCTACCAATCAGGCAGGAAGGACATGACAGGAAATCTAGTTAATTCAGCTTATTAGTTTGGATGGTTGAGACTGCGAGGTCTTAGAAAACCCAATTCAAAGTGCTTTAAATAAAAAGGACATTTTTGGCCTGAGATAACCAGAAGTCCAAAGGTAGGCAGTCTTTAACTGTGGCTGATCCAGTGGCCAATCATTTCATCAAGGACCTAGGTTTTATCTGTCTCTCTGCTCTACCATGCATGGTGTCTGCTCCATCCTGAGACTGGATCTCCCATTGGTCAGAAAGTGGCTGCCAGTCACAGTTGGATGTCCACACTTTCTCGCACACATCCAAGAAAAGCAAGGGAGTTACTCCTAGAACATATCCTAAAGGAATGAAAAGAAAGTTTCCCAAAAGCCTCTGCAAACCTCGCATAGCATCTCATTAGCCTGAATTGTATCTCGTGTTCTTTCCTGAACCAATCACAACTAGTTTGTATTATTTTGTTTGGCTTAAGTGCATCGAAGTCCACTCCTGCGGTCAGAAAATGGGGTTAGCTTTGCCTAAATTAATGGGAAGCATGGAGGACAGATAGAAAACTAGCCGAAGTCAGCAATCTCCTAGGAAAGAGAAAGAGGAGATGCACGCAGCATGGGCAACTGTGATCATCATTAATGCTGTTCACCCAGCATTTCTGAATTCCCACCTTCCTGGCACATGGTAGGATTGTACCTCCTGGCTCCTAATGGCTGGGTGGGGCTGTGAGACTTGTTGCAATCAATGAGTAGTGAGCAGAAGTGGCACGTGTCACCACCAGGCTAGAAACTTTAATGGCCAAATGAGGCCACCTTAGCTATCTTTAGTTTTGCATTAGACACTAATTAATGCAGAGCAGCTCAGGTGGTAGCTGCTCCTTCCGTATACATCCCCAAATGAAGAGCATGGAGCAGAGCCCCCAGCCAACCCATGATGGAGATGAGCAAGAAATAAACCTTCATTGTTAAAATCCACTTTTTTTTTTACTCCAACATACCCTAGTCCGTCCTTGATAAAACTACAGACAACATAGGCTAGGTGCGGTGGCTCACACACCTGTAATCCCAGCACTTTAGGAGGCTGAGGCAGGCAGGTCACTTTAGCTCAGGAGTTCAAGACCAGCCTGGGTACCAATGCTGAAACCCCATCTCTACAAAAAAAAAAATACAAAAGTTAGCCGGGCGTGGTGACATGTGCCTGTAGTCCCAGCTAACTGGGTGCTGAGGCGAAAGGACCGCTTGAGTCCAGGAGGTAGAGGTTGCAGTAGGCTGAGATGGTGCCACTGCACTCCAGCCTGGGTGACAGAGTGAGACCCTGTCTCAAAAACAAACAAACAAAAACAAACAAACAAACAAACAAAAAGAAAGAAAGAAAGAAACTATAGATAACATCATGGCAGCAGGTGATGTCAGCATTTGGCATCTAGTCCTGTTGGCAGGGGGTGCTATGTGAGGTGGACACCAGTGTCACATGGTTTATGACCCCAGTTAGGCATGGCAGGCCAAGGTGAGCAAGTATGTCCTAGAACTAGAAACAAGCAGTTTTCCTGAGAGTTCCCACTGAACATGGCCGCCACTTACACATCTTCTCCTCAAGAGAAACAAAAAAGAAAATATTCCTAATTTGTCTCTTAAATAATCTAGACACATGCCTGGCATATAAGAAATAAAAAAGAATCTACATTCTGTTAAGTATTTTAAGTTAAATAAATTACTCAAGAAATGTGGAGAAAAAGTTACCGAGATCAAAAAAATCTGAATTCATGTAAATGATTATTTAGGATCAGAAATGCATCTGTGGAAAAAATAACCTACAAAGTAGAAAACAAAATGTTTAAGCATCACATTTACTAAAATATATTTTAGTTTTTGAAATATTTTTGAAATGTGAAAGTTATCACTAATTGAAATGTGTATAGTACTACACCTATGCAATGTTTATTGCTCTGTTGTATAGTCTACAAAACATTTGTCTTACAATTAAATGAAATTTATAATTCTATACATTTCATCTTATAATTAATTGCCATTTTTCTAAATGACAATATTTTTTAAAGTGTAAAAATACAGTGTAATGTAAGTCATCCTAATAACAGAAAGATAGGTGCTAGAAAGTCTCGGAATATTTCTTTGAAAGACTAGTTCTCAAAGGAAAATAAAATAGAAAAGCTTCACATTGTTTAGTAAATAATAACTATAATACCTCTTCCATATTCATCTACATCTTCTTTGAAGAACATTTTTAAAACTACCTCTTGTTTTTGCTTCTGTTTCTTTGGATTGGCTCTGACCTGTGTATATTGTAAGGTTTTACTAACTACCACAACAGGAATGAATTATGTGGAATTCTTTAGTATAAGCTGAGAAGGACTTGGAGAGTGCTCCTTCTCTGGCAGGAATGTTTAAGATTCAGTGGGTTTTGCTCCTAGAGATAATTTTTATTATTGCATTCAAAAACATCCTGTCTGGTTGTTGAGCATTTCCAGAGCAGAATACCTGGGTAATTTTGATTAGGTCATAATCTTCAAAACATGTTACAATTGCCTAGTGACAAGATGCTCAATTTTTAGATTTTTTTTTTTTTTTTTTTTTGCCCTGTTCTCAAATGCAGTCATCATTCCCTACTTGAGAGCTATTTTTGCTATCCTCCTTGCAGAGATGAAAATATGAAGGCACAGAAATTGTTGTTAGGTTGGGTGCCAGCCTAGGAGCCAGAAGACTTGGGCTCTGGGTCCTGGACCTCACAGGCTGATGCTCAGGCCAGCAAAGTCAGGAGGGGAAGGGTCTCAGACATCTGCTGATGGGAAAGGTGTGCAGCACATTCACATCCAGGCAGCCACACCTGCCTCACCCATGGAAGAGATTTTCTTTGTTTTGACAAATGGCCCTTCTGGGTCTGTCTGGTCAACAAGGAAAGGTGAAGCACCAGCATTGCCCACACCTTGCCTAAGTCCTCTCCTAACAATCAGGCCTGGGAGAGATGTGTTTCAGAGCCCCCAAATCCTGGCCTCCATCTATATCACGACATAGTAGAGGAAGCATGCACTCTTCGACTCACCCGCTTGGGCACTGATGATCCTGGCTTCTGCCCTCTCTGCCTGCACCTTAGGAGATGGAAGCAGGGACCCCTGCAGAGACAAGAGACCCTGCTGGGCAGGGGAGTCATGGGCATCTCTCCTAATGATCCCATCATGCTGTTGCTTCCCGCACACCGTGCCCCAAAGAACCTCATTTTCATTTTGCTTTTACCTTGATTAATGCCCTTTATGAGTTGCCTTCCCACGACTTCACCTGCAGCCACTGCCCAAGCACGTGTTCAGCTGTTGGGATCTCTGGGAGTTGTTTTCCATCTTCCTACTCCACAATTATGCCAACGGCCATCTTCCTGACCCAAGCCTACTGGGAGCAGGAGTCTCCTATTGTGTTCTTCCAGGTGATCTTCCTTTTTGCAAGTGCAAAATCTCAGGTGTAGGCTTTGGTCTTTTGGTGCTAAAATGTGAACTGAAATTTAAAATGTTACAAAGGTAGGTCATGGTAGGACTTGCTTTCCCTAAACCAAAGATGTCCTTATACCTAAGGCTAATGTTGCCTTCCCTTTGAAAAGCTACCACATCAATAATTCAGTTTACATCTCAGCTTGCCTAATATATTTCTCTCTTATTTGAAAGGCAAGATGAACTTCAGAGAATTTTTTTAAGTGAGGTTTTGTGAGCTGAGCCTTCCAAGAAGCCCGCAAGGTCTGTGGGTTCTGTATGTGACTGGGGCTCGGGCTTCACTCCCGAGAGTGAGTGCTATCTCCGTTTTCTCCTGCTACATCTCCAACCACTCCTAACCTACATTTCTTCCAGCTCCCCTTCCTGTAACTGCTCTTGCCCACTTTCCTCTTCCTATGTGCCTTCCTTAAACTTATCCATTCCCAGTGTCTCAAGCACCCATAACCAGTAACTCTGGCCACAATCCCTATTGATCTCCAAACCCTCTTTCCCCCAACTGTCAAATGCAAGATGTCTTGGAATACTTAGACACCTCAAAGTCAACCTGTCTAGGCTGAATTAACTGTTCCTTCACACCCCCACCCAAACCTTTGCCACCTCCTCCCATCACCTACCCACCCATCCAAACACCTCTTTGAGTATTTCTTAGTGACCCAGCTCCTTTCCTTGCTAGCCAGGCAGACATTGTTGAAAGGAGGAGCTGGAGAAGGTGGCGCAGGAGTTGAGATATTAGAGTACCTACACACACCTTCAACTCCGGAGCCAAAAACCAAAGAGGAAACAGGAGGCAAAGTGCAATAAAAGGTCCAGATAAGCTCCTGGGGCCCCTAAAACAGAAAAGACCTTGGCTTGGCTTCCCTTTAGGAGGCTACCAGCCTCACAGAGAATTCCACATTCATCTGGCACTTGAGCTACAGATTACAAAAAATGAGGGAAGAGATCAGGCATGTGGGACTAAAATATGTTTCCAGTTTCCCAAGGGCTGCCCCATATATGCAGGGATTCCAGGAGTTCCTGCTTATCCCAAGGGGGACCAGAGAGGTTCTGAGAACAGCCATAGTGTAGAAGAGCCTTGAGATCTGGACACAGAAACTGAAGAATGCAAAGACTTTGAACTGGAAGGATATGGCTGAAATGGTGCACAGAAGCAACAGGGGACCCCAAGGATCACGCATGACCGAGCATACCAGGGACACTAGCACAAAGTCCCCAGGCCCAGGGACCAGCCCAGCTCAGTCAGGGCACTCACAATAGGACCAGCCAAGACCTGGAAAGGCCCTTCCCATCATGGTGATGACAGATAAGCTTTGCTCTGCACCCATATAAGGGGGCCGGGGGGTTCGTGGGCGGGGTAAAAAGAAAAGACCCTGAAGGCCTGAATGTAACCAGAAAAGGTGATGTTAACCTGAAAGGAACTATTTTAACTTGGAAGAAACTGAGATTTCTCTAGTTAGTACCAAAGTTTTTAGTTTTGTTTTTGTGTGTTTGTTTGTTTTGTTTTGTTTTTGTTTTTGAGATGGAGTCTCGCTCTGTCGCCCAGGCTGGAGTGCAGTGGCACAATCTGTGCTCACTGCAACCTCCACCTCTTGGGTTCAAGAAATTCTCCTGTCTCAGCCTCCCGAGTAGTTGGGATTACAGGCACGTGCCACCACGCCTGGTTAATTTTTTGTATTTTTCGTAGAGACAGGGTTTCACCGTGTTAGCTGGGATGGTCTTAATCTCCTGACCTTGTAATCCACCCGCTTCAGCCTCCCAAAGTGCTGGGATTACAGTATGAGCCACCGCACCCAGCCAAGTTTTTTGTTGTTTTACTTTATGTTTCTTTCTCTCTTACCATTGGATGGAGAGCTATCAAAGACAATTAACTAAGTAATAAATGATAAAAATGCTATTGTTTTCACAATTTGTGCTGTAGTGAGACTTTTTGACACTATTGCACAAAAAGCATCACTGTTAACCTTTCTTCCCTACCTCTTTCTCTACCCCTGCTATGTTGGTGTCTCCCCGAAATTTTTGGTGTTTCCCCAAAATTCATATGTTGGAACTTAATCCCAATGTGATAGGATATAGGAGGTGATTAAACCATGAGCGCTCTGTCCTCATGAATGGAATTAGTGCCCTTATAAAAGATGTTGGGCCAGGCACAGTGGCTCACGCCTGTATACCCAACACTTTGGGAGGGTGAGGCGGGCAAATCACTTGAGCCCAGGTGTTTGAGACCAGACTGGGCAACAAGGTGAAACCCTGTCTCTACAAAAAATACAAAATTAGCTGAGCGTGGTGACACCCACCTGTAATCCCAGCTACTTGTGGGGGCTGAGGTGGGAGGATTGCTTGAACCTAGGAGTTCAAGGCTGAAGTGAGCCATGATAGTGCCACTGATCCAGCCTGGGCAACAGAGCAAACCCTATCTCAAAAAAAAAGAGAGAGAGAGAGAGAGAGACAGAGAGAGAAGACAGCTTCCCTCCCCTTCCACCATGTGAGGACACAGAGAAGGTACTAGCTATAGGAACAGGCACTGAATCTGCTAGCACTTTGACCTTGGACTTCCCAGGCTCTAAAATTGTAAGAAATTAATTTCTGTTGTTTATCAGTTACCCAGGCTAAGGTATTCTGGTATAGAACCCAAGTAGAATAAGACAATGCCCATCTAACAGTAGACTAGCCTGTAGACTGTATCTCTGAGCTGTCTCACATCTAAGTTCCATCCTTTCCAACCCCAATGCCAATGCCAAGATTCACACTGGTCATCTCTTACCTGGAGGTTATAACCCTGAGTGATGTCCCCTCCTCCAGATCTTCTCTTTTTAATGTGTCCTCACCCACATTGATCTTTCTAAAATATGATGCTCTCCAGCTTTAAAAACTGGGCTGACTCCCTGTGAATAAAGGGTGATTATCATACTCCAAAGCTTGTCCCAGAAACCTCTTCCTAATCACTCCTGCTCTAATCTCAGTCTTATATATCCTCTGCCCTCTCTCACACATTCCAAGTTCAAGCCATAGCAGTTATTTACCATTCCTATAATGGACCAAGTGCTTTCACTTCACTAATCTTTGCACTTGCTATTTCCCTTCAAGATCCAGATCCAACATACCACTTCTTCGACATCCTCTCTAATTCCTTTCATTCCCCAAGTCAAATTTATCAACAACTCTTTTGTTCCCTTTACACTATATACATGCCTATGGCAACCGGAAAGCCACAAGTACCAGTTTCTAATACTCTATTCTATTTACAAATCAGAAAGATAAAAGTTTGTGGACCATGCTCCTCAACTTATAGTTCCAAGGCCATGACCATATGTTCCAAAATCATTATTAGTCTTTATGACATTTTATCATGATCTTCAGTTTGCATAACTAACCCCGTGCTTGAATTAAACTCCTAAAGGGCAAGAACCATGTGTGTGTTCCTCTTTGTAGCCACATCTTTCTATGATGCTCACTCCTTACATCCTACTCAGCTTAGCAGAGGAACATCTGGCCAATTAGCAAGTTAGAAACATCACTCTCTCCTGGGATGAAACCACTCCCATACCAGGGCAAATGTCTGGCAAATATAAGGAAGACTTAGTTTCAGCGCCCACTTACCCTCCTGAGTAGGTACCTTTGTGCAGTGTACAAACTACCCAACTGTATGTAACAGCCCTTGGACCTAACATGTAGTAAGGGCAAAATATATCTTTGTTGATGAATGAACTTGTCTAGGGAACATTCCCTACCCTTACCTCTCTTAAATTACATGAACCAGATGTGCCTATTATTTACATAGTTTTGGTATTGCACTATATCCAATAATCAAATATTCTTCAGCATGCCTTGATAAATTAATGTCAGGCTTAGCCACAGAAACTTACTATACTATGATATTTGTAGCATCGTTAAAAATTAAGTACCAGCATTTTATAGAGCATTCAGCACAAATACTCAATATATGCTTATTAAGTAAATACAATTTCAAATATTAATATCTGAAATTATATTGCCATTCCTTTAACGATTGCAGTATAACCATTATCCCCATCTTGTCTCTGAAAATAAGTGAACTGTATTCAGAGATAAGATTTTAGGTACTACCTTACTGTGTCATAAAAATAACAACAGCCTGAACATTGGTGGAATATTGGTGGCTTATTAAACTACATGTCTGTTTGTTTCTTGCTAATGGCCCTACCACTCAACCAGTTGGTGTGTGCTCCCACACAGTGTATTCACACATTCAACCTTCAAGCTAACATAGAACCCAGACAAAGTCAACAACAGACTCTAGCACAAGCTGAAGTAAATTCAAATGTTAATATATGGTCCTTTATTTCTAGAGTAAGAGTAAATAAGGGGGTTTTAGAATCTACAAAGGATGCCATGTGCATCAATAAAGGCATTTTATTGCAGTATGACTTGATTTTTAAGTGTATTAGACAGAAATCTGCTCTAAGAGAAGCTATAAACTTCTATACAATATGTGTAGATGGCTAAAATTCTAATATCTCTGGGCCCTGTTTCTCTCTAGGCTACTAGAAATACAACAAAGTCAAAGTTAAAGATGGAAGGAAAGTGATAATTATGCAAGTTATTTCATCATTGAGGGAAGGTTTGATAAAGTATCTCAAAACTTGTGTATTTTGGGAAGAGTGACAGCCTAGGAGGTCGAGGCTGCATTAAGCTGTGATAGTGCCACTGCACTCCAGTCTAGGCAACAAAGTGAGACCCTGTTTCAAAAAAATTAAATTAAATTTTAAAAACTGCTGCACTTTAGAAAAACTTTTTATGGGTTAAGTATTTTAAATCTGTCGCTCTAGGTAAAATAATTTGTCAACTCTGAATAAATTGTGGAGGATGCAAAAGTTGTCTTCAGAAGAGATATAGGATTTTCATGACCCTAAAATGTGTCAAGTAAGAGTTTCTTCTCCTGTGTCAATTAGGGCCCTTCAGTTGTAGATCACAGAAAACTTGACCCAAACTGGATCAATCACGTTAGGAATAATTCACTTACGACACAGCTGGATTCAGGACTGGTTCAACAAATAGCACCAAGACTCAACATCTCTTTTGGTTCTTCCGCTATGTTACTTTCAGTCTTGGGCTTCACATCTTAGCAGACAGAGGCAGCAGCTCCAGTTTCTAGATCCTCTCTAGTTTTAAGTCAATCTGAAAAACAGAGCATATCTTTCCAGGATTCCCAAGAAAGTTTCCTTGCTCTTCATTGGATCACATGTCCAATTGGATCACATGTCCTTGTTGGATCACATGTCCTTGTTGGATCACATGTCCATTTCTAAACTCATTACTGTGAGCCCAGACATGTGATATGCTGATTCTCCAGCTTGAGTCACTTTTCGACACCTGGGGCTGAGACTGCCAGAAACACTTTGGAAATGGTGGAGGGGGCTATTCGTCAAAGGAAAATCTAGGTATAATTACCAGAAGAAGGAGGAATGGATAGCAACCAGAAAAAAAACAATGGATATCTGCCATCACTTTCTTCCCTGTGGTGGGCAACCTCTAGATGACCCCCCAGTGATCTCCACTTCCTGGTATTCTGCCCTTTTATAGTGCTCTTCCCCCTTGAGTGTGGGCAAGACTTTGTAACATGCTTTTAACCGATAGAATATATCAAAAGGGATGAGATGTCACTTCCATGATTAAGTTACATAAGATTGTGATTTCCTTCTTGCTACCAAACTCTCTCTATTGCCTTCTCGGCTTGCATGCTTTGATGAAGCAAGCTACCATGTTGGAGAGGCCCACATGGCAAGAAACTGAGGGTGGCTGCCAGCTAAAAACTGAGGTCCTCAATGCAATAGCTCTCAAAGTACTGAATTTAGCTAACTACTATGTGAGCTTGAAAATAGATCATTTCCTAGTCAGGCTTTCAGATGAGAAATCAGACCTGACCAATATCTTGATTGCATTCTTGTGAGAGATACTGAGACGATATCTGGGGCCCTTCTTAGCATCCCTTAAGTTCAACTACTTAGGGGAGTACTAGTTTACATAATATGAAGGTGCAGAACTAAAGGGTATACAAGCATTTTGGACCCCAAAATAGTTGCTTCTTGAAAGAGATGTGACTCAAATGAATATGTAGTCATTGTTAATGGCCAGTGACAACTATCTGTAGCGATGTAGACAGCTGTCACCTGTTATAATTTGAGGTCCTCTCCTATCTGGAAGTTGCCGTGAATGGCCGGAGTTGACTACATGGTCCCACATCAGCCTTCTTTCTGTCTTCAGTTCCTTCCTATTCCCCTGCCTTGTTCACCCCCTCGAGGGTTGCACAGCTGCAGCCCCATAGAGCCCAGACTGCAGTTGCACTAAAGGAGGCTTCACAGAGCTGCACAAAAGCTTCCAGCCACCAAAGCACAAAGCCTTTCCTTCAGTCAGCCTCCACAGTCTCCCAGCTCTTAGGAGTGCCATAATCCTACATGACAGTCAGATTTATGCTTTCCTATGGGACTTTTTAGGCTGATCCCAAACCCCTCTCTTCTCATACCACCTACAGTTTTTAGTCTGGATCCCTCTAGAACAGCCCTCGGGGAATAGGATTTACTAGGTTAACCCTAGCCACATTGCTTTCTCTGAACCCTGGGCTCTCTTCCTCTGTGGATTCTGCGATTCCGCAGCTCAGCATAGTATTTCAAACACACTGTACTGTAAACCATGATATGTTTCATGATTAAGCACTAAAAAGAAGACAGGTGGTGCCTTCATGGTAATTAAAGCCTGCTGCAGGCCGTGTTTTAGTGCGTATGACTGACAATGCAGGAAGTACGGCAGTCTTTGGTAAAGAAACAGCTCTGTCTGTCACATGGCTGTGGCTCATGCAAGTTTTCAGACACAGAACAAGATTGAAGGGAAGCTCACTCATCTTTTTCTAATTGACATTTAGGTCATTTGGGAAAGTATATGCCACAAAGCATAATGCTTTCACTCATACTTAGATTTCAATTAGTTCAGGACTAAGTTATTCATAGATTATTTAGAGATGCATTGTATCTTTTGAATTATTAATTCAAGATAAAACTCAATCTATTAGGGGAAATTTTTCTACCAGAGTTTATTCTAGGAACCCTTAAACTGATCTTGATCTCTGCAGATTTCTAAACCAATAAAGGGATTGCATTGAACCCCAAAGTTGTATTCGTTACAAATGCAAGTTTTAGATTCTGGGAAACAGAATGTTGAAGTTCTCTTTCCAGTAATGACACATGTTGTCTTTGTGACTGTAAACATTTTCCCTTGAGTGTTGACTAAAATGAAGAAGCTCTTAGGATCTTTTTAGGCTGAATGTCCATTATGTTCTTTGAGTGTTTTCAACATGGAAAAAAAAACTGAATTGATTAAATTCTGTTGACAATTCTAGAATGAAGATTAATTATTTTTTAGTGCAAGGAAATCCTTTGGCTTCATTCAGTTGTGAACAAAATATTTCCAAGTGCCTGTGAGGCTGGGTCAAGAAATGATCAAAGGGAACCCAACAAAGTCTTGCTGTGGACCATGCCTGAGATCAGGCACTCGCCCCCACTCTCCTTGCTGCTGGAGCCATGGCTTCATTTTACTCATAATATCTTTCGGGCATTAAACAATACTCTTGGAAATCCTCTTTTTCTCAGTCCTCTCTTCCATCTACATGTTATTTGTAATAATTTCATTTATTCCTATCACCCTGTTGGGGGTTGAAATGTGCCCCACCAAAAAAAAAATATATATATATATATGTTAGAGTCCTAACCCCCTGTACCTCAGAATGTAATTTTATTTGGAAACAAAGTCCTCATGGAGGTAACCAAATTAAAGTAGGTCATGAGGGTGGGCCCCAGTCTGATATGACTGGTGTCCTAACAGTCTGGGGGGAAATTTGGATACAGAGACAGACATGCACAGAGAGAGCACCATGTGAAGATGAAGGCAGAAAAGAGGTTGGGATGATGCTTCCACAAACCAAGGAATGCCAGAGAGTGCCAGAAAACCGCAGAAGCCAGGGGACAGGCATGGAACAGATTCTTCCTCACAGCTACCAGAAGGAATCAATCCTGCCGACACCTTGATCCTGGACTTCCAGTCTCCAGAACTGCTGGACAATAAATTTCAGTTGTTTAAGCCACACCATTTGTGGTACTTTGTTTCAGCAGCCCTAGAAAACAAATACAGACTCCAACTCTCGAAGTATTATTTCCAGCTCAAAATCCTCTTCTGAATTGTCGGATTGACAAGAGATACACAGGCTTCTCAAACTCACATAAAGGTCTTATTTAGCCCAACACCTGGACCATAACAAGTTCTCAGTAAGAGTTAATGCTGCTGCTACTGCTGATGATAATAATGATGAAGTCACAGAAAAGAAGGGGAAGAGAAGGAGCAGCAGCAGGGAGAAGAGAATGAATTAACTGAGTCTGGCTCCCCTCTGTGAAATACAAAAGATGTGAACAGTCTCCGCAAGATGTGTCTTTTCTATCTTTGTACTTTATCCAACCACTCACTGAACGCCCAAAGCACACTCATGATTGAAATTTCTGAATGTCCTTATTGAATGCGTTGGTGAACAACTGGTCATTAATCACAGATGGACATTCTTTAGAAGAAATCATAGTTCCTGGCTCCTTTGTGCATTCAACCAGAGTGTTTATTTGCAGTGAGGCAGTCTGAAATACCGTCTCATTGGCCAGGACTATACTACATCTCAGCTGAAGAGAGAAAAGTGGCATGATAAGTTCACATTACGGCTGTGCCTGGGATTTGAGTATCAGTATTTGAGTCTCAACCTACCCTTCTCCCCCATCAGCCACACTCTTCCTCTGATCAAGATGAGGAGGCACAGAATAGCAAACTGTGCCCAATTCCTTCAGAAACTGAAATTCCCAGGTTATTTTAAATGGCACCATTTATCAAAAACCTGCTGGCTATGTCAAAACACTGTCAGACTCTTACTTTGTATTCATTTTTCCAGTTGAACCCACCAACTCCCACTTCTGGTATGGCAGAAGTATTATGAATTTCCTTTCAAAAATTACTACCCATTTCATCGGTGGCTGGAGAGACTACATTGCCCGAGGTTACTCAGCTAGAAAGTGCCTCTGCTGGGACTTGAACCTATGTCTCTGTGACTGGCCTACTTAGGGCCCAGCACTGGAATTGTACCTAGTGACTAGCTGGTACTCAATAAGTATTTTGTGGGCTTAATGACTCCAAAACCAGTACTCTTTCCACTACATGGTGGAGACTCTCTGAAACTGGAGGAGAAGAGGTAAAAAAGACAGAAACTTGAGGCAAAAGCTCTGGGTGGCAGGAGTTTGGATTGAGAGATAAGTCTTTGGTCTTTCTGTTCTATCGGTGTGTGATTCCATCAACTTGTAGTAATTACACACAATGCAAGCCAAGGTTTATTAGATACTCTAAGGCCAGTGGGTCTAACAAGTAAATAACAAAAACAAAAACAAAGATTATTACCATTAAGACATCTCTTGATTTTAGGGTAATACCCAACAAAGCACTTATTTCATTAATCACCATTTGGTCCTTTGCTGCCCTTTCACCCCAACCCCGTAGATGTTAGACCCTTTTTTGTTTGTTTGTTTTTTATTTTTTGAGGTGGAGTCTAGCTCTGTCACTAGGCTGGAGTGCAGTGGCACAATCTTGGCTCACTACAACCTCCGTCTCCTGGGTTTAAGCAATTCTCCTGCCTCAGCTTCCTGGGTAGCTGGGATTACAGGTGGTGCCACCAGGCCCAGCTAATTTTTGTATTTTTAGTAGAGACGGGGTTTCACCATGTTGATCAGGCTGGTTTGAACTCCTGTCCTCAAGTGATCACCCACCCCGGCCTCCTAAAGTGCTGGGATTACAGGCGTGAGCCCGTGTGCCCAGCCGGATCTTGGATCCTTTTGACAAGAGTTTAAAGAACAAGCATAAGGTACAGATATTTTAGCCTGGAGCTATCCAGAAGTTTATAGATCTTTAACACCCTTTTCCTAAATGTCAGGTTGCTGAGACAGGCAGGGGTGGTACATATGCCTTGAGATTCTTTTCTTAGTACATGTGCTGAAGAGAGTGAACATGTGAAAATCTCTTTCCAATTTCTACTTAGGAGAACAGATTAGTTAATGTTGCAGTCCATACTAAAGTGACCATCTACGTTCTGCCTTTGAGGGACTCAACCTGGATACAGGACAGATTTTCTGTTAGGAAAAATCCCAAAGCCCCTATCCAAGGACAATTGTGTTTACTAATTTTTGACGTTTTTTCTTAAATTCTATTACTAGCACTCTCACAATAACAGCACCTTTAATTTTCAATTATTGATAAATGATATTTCTATAAATAATATTGTATCATATAACATGTGATTTTTATAGTATATATAGTACAAAATGAATGGCTTAAAGAGTTTATTATGGAAGGCAAGAGAAGAATCTTACCCATCCAGCACAGAGGAAGCTCATTGTACTGTAGCTCAGATACCCTGGATTGAGTGTTAGCCATTTAGTTGATGAATCGTTTTTGAGCACCAAGAATGTGTTATGCACAGAGCCAGGTGCTGGGGTACAATAATGAGTGAGATGGACATAGTTCCCACCCATTCAGAGCATATAGTCTATGAGAAAGTAATAGAATAAATTGTGGTAAGTGCTGCAATAAGGAAGATGCAAATGCAGGCTGTACCAGGCAGGAACA